GAGAGATCAAAAGAGATGAGTTCCTACGTAGGAGGACCATGTTTCTATGTGTACATTCGTTCTAGTAACGTCTTCCAGCAAGTAACCGCAGCTTTGCTGACTAAACAAAATGATCTCTGTTTGTGGCTGATCCCTGTTGTGTGTTAGCTAAATCCCCATGCTTGATGGCTACAAATCCGCTGTTTCCACTGATTGTTGAAGTCTAACATCCCCTGTTCTTTTCGCTTGGTGACCTTCCCACAAGCTGGTGCCCCACGATAAGTTGGTTTATGAAACCCCATGACTAATTCGTTCAAGATATCATGATCTGGTTGGTGGTTTCAACCTACCCCTCTGAGAAATGATGGAGTTCGTCAGTTCGTCATTTTGTCATGATGACATTCCCAACTGAATGGAAATCATAAAATTCCATGGTTCCAGTCACTACCAATCAGTGATATATCTACCATAAAAACCAATAAAAACCATAGGACCTAGGCCACCTCGGGTGCCTTCATACACCGGTTCCACTCCAAGCCGTGCCGGCCAGGCTTTGGGATAGTAGACCGGTCCGTCGCAGTGGGGGAAGATGCCCTGCCCAGGCCTGACTTGGGATGTCCAAGTCAAAACGAATCCGGCGAATCCCAGAACTGGTTTATACATTAAGCATATTTCAGCATTACCCATAGGATCCATGTATGGTATATATATATATATATGCTAACATTTGCCCTAGAAATCACCCAAATGTAGGTAAATATACCATACATGGAGCATATGGGTTATATCTATATAGATTCACATAATTCTATATAATACATTATAATATGACATGGTCTGAGAATGATATGACCGTTACAAAGAAAGCGGGGTGATCCTGCCAGTAGATCCTCAACTGATAAAACAAACCCTGGTAATGGTCGGTTCTGAAAATTGCAAGCGGCTCGTCTCACCCAGATTCATCGGTCTGGGTGGCGTTCGCGGGGGTGAACGGGCGAACAGTGTGTTTGTTTATAACATTTTATAACCCAAAAATGGTGCCGGACTGGACACAAATGATCCGAATTTGGGGTGACCCCATCATGACACGCTGGACTCACCTGTCGGTGCGTTTGCATCTAAGGCATCTGGCCGGTAGCCGTTGATGCGGACCGAATTCATGGGATACCTGAGCGTTGGGGCCCTGAAATCAGGCTTGACCCAAGTAGACTTGGAGGATCATCCCGCTTAACAACTGATAAGTGGGGTAAAAACCCGACTATATATGAGATAACCCGACTGTTAGGGGACGTACGTTCACCATGGTTACTAACCAGTTACATCCACTGTCCACTGGAAAGATCCTCGAAGTAGCCACAGTCGGATCCCACTGCCACAATTTGAATACGACTCATGCCCAAATGATTTTTTTTGATTTGCGCAGCAGCTTCCAAACATCAGTACAGCCATGAGAACGGGAAACAAGAGACAATGGAATGTTTAACAAAAGACCATGTGTACTTGGTGGTTCATCCCAGTTAGTAAGTATAGGGTGAGTTCACTCATAACTTGGGTTATAACCCACTTACTACCTGGGATGAACCACCAACTAACCCATCAGCTTATATTATCAGGTACTCACCATTATATAACCATCAATCACCATTAATCAACCTCTAACCATCACTTAATCACTACCAACTGTCTAACAGGGGTTATAAGTTAGTTATACGCCACTTACTAACTGGGATAAACCACTAAATTAACCACTAACTGGGATGAACCACTAACCACTGGGTTAATCAACCTCTAAGCCTCTAACCATCAACCACTAAGTCTAATGTGTTTTTTCTTTGACCTCGAAAAAAAATCCGATTTGTCGACGGGGCACAGAGCCGAATCGAAGATGCCCAGCTGATGAAGGGCATCTGCCAGCCTTGGAGTGTCATCCCATGGGATTCAGGGATAGCCCTACTCATGTGGATTTCTTTGTGGTTAATATGGCAGTGTGTCAAAACCAATAGTACCCCTGTAGTTCACATCAAAATAGCTGGGATTTATGGATGTGAATAACCCACTAAAAATGGTATTAATAGGTATTGATCCACACCCATATGTGGTTCATATACTGTTCATATGTGGTTAATGATGATGGTTATTATATGCTTAATGATGGTTAATAATTATATAGCCCCAATATATATTTATTTATACAGTCAGCCCTACCATAGCCCCAATAGCCCCCAACAATAATATACAGTCAGCCCTAACTAACCATCATTAGGATTTACCTAGGTTTATGATCATCCCCAATAGCCCCAAAGGATATCAAAGGATAAGATATCTGGTTGGTGGTTGAGCCCTACCCCTCTGAAAAATGATGGAGCTCGTCAGTTGGGATGATCACCTTCCCAATATATGGAAACATAAAAACTGTTCCAAACCAACAACCAGCCTGCTATAGGGTTATATTATGTTATATAATTCTATAGAAACATATTCTGTTGTATTCTATATTATTCTATGACATATGCCACTTACTAACTGGGATGCACATCCAAGATCATCCAAGTACCCTCAAGGCCTCAAGGATTCTGGTCTTTTTGAAGCTGAGATAATGGGGAATTCTTGCGGCAAACTTGCCTGGTTTCCAGGCCGCACATTGAGCCAAACTAAATCTTCTCTTATGACCTGGTTGGTGGTTGACCTAACCCTCTGAAAAATATGACTTAGTCAGTTGGGATGATTATTCCCAATATATGGAACAATAAAAACTGTTCCAAACCACCAACCAGATATAGAGTTGCCTTAGATCATCATTTTCTGAGAGTTTTTCCGAGGACTTCCGTCCGTCCCGGAGCGCTGACAGGCTGAGCATCAGCACTTCTGTTGCGATTCAGGCAATGGCATACGCCTTACCACGTGGCCGGATGGAAACATATTGCAGGCACCTGGAATCCTGGTGAAAAAAAGACGAGCTGAAATGTTGAGATCATGTTAAACTATACCCTCTGGTAAACTAACATAGCTACTGAAAATGGCAATAGAAATAGTGGATTTACCCATTAAAGATAGTGATTTTCCATAGCTGTGTTAGTTTCCCAGAGGGTACCATCTTGAGCACTGAAGCACATTGCGATCAGGTCGAAATGACAGAAATGTCGAAAGGGCCGAACATTAAGCCCCTTCCGCAGGTGCATCTGTCACCTGACACGGCTGGCCAGGATGGAAGACCTGCTCCAGGATCTTGTAGATGATTGTTACTTCATAATTTCAAGGTTTCCAACCTATCTGGTTGGTGGTTGACCTACCCCTCTGAAAAATGATGGAGTTCGTCAGTTGGGATGATGACATTCCCAATATATGGAAAAACAAAAAATATTCCAAACCACCAATCAGCTATATACCGTATCTATCAATTGTGGGGTGACTGCTTTGATCTTTGTGTTTTTTATTGGGGTGTGCACTTGTGACAGCTTGGGCGATACCATCCAATAAGTTGGCGCACAGATTGATTTCCAAGATCAAGATGGAAACACACCCAAGATCATCCAAGGACGAAAAACGCCTGCATACATAGAATCAAACCATGTATGTATGTGTTGTATTGTATTGTATTGTGTTGTATTCTATTGTATTGTGTTATATTGTATTGGTTTGTGTTGTATTGTATTGTATTGTGTTGTATTGTGTTGTATTGTATTGTGTTGTGTTGTATTGTATTGTGTTGTATTGTATTGTATTGTGTTGTATTGTATTGTGTTGTATTCGATTGTATTGTGTTGTATTGTATTGTTTTGTGTTGTATTGTATTGTATTGTGTTGTATTGTGTTGTAGTGTATTGTGTTGTGTTGTATTGTGTTGTGTTGTATTGTATTGTATTGCATTGTGTTGTATTGTATTGCATTGTGTTGTATTGTGTTGTATTGTGTTGTATTGTGTTGTATTGTATTGTATGCATGTATGTAATATTATGTTGTGTTGTGTAATGCAATGCAATGTGATGTGATGTAATGTATGTATGTACTTTACCATACTGTATACATCATCTTTCGGAATCTTTCGGCATGTGGACACAACGAAACGCCATTGCCTGCGCCCCACTCCTGGGATGAGCGTGTCCGCATGTCCTGTCGGCATCCCCATGAAATATATGTGTCCCATGGGGAAATCCCCGAACTCAATGCAGGTTTTATGGGAAAAAAACATGGAAACACAATGAAGCACAATGAAGCACAATGAAACACGATGAAACACAATGAAACACAATGAAACACAATGAAGCACAATGAAGCACAATGAAACACCATGAAACACAATGAAACACAATGAAACACTATGAAACACAATGAAACACAATGAAACACAATGAAACACAATGAAACACAATGAAGCACAATGAAGCACAATGAAACACAATGAAACACAATGAAACACAATGAAACACAATGAAGCACAATGAAGCACAATGAAACACAATGAAACACAATGAAACACAATGAAACACAATGAAGCACAATGAAGCACAATGAAACACAATGAAACACAATGAAACACAATGAAACACAATGAAGCACAATGAAGCACAATGAAACACAATGAAACACAATGAAACACAATGAAACACAATGAAACACTATGAAACACTATGAAACACTATGAAACACAATGAAACACAATGAAACACAATGAAACATCAAACACAATGACATACAGACATGTTTTAATGGAGGATGGAACAAAGCATGAACAAGACCCAAACATCCCTTGGATCCCTCTCCTTTTGCCGGGAGTTCAGCAGAGATACAAACCCTTCAAGTGGGGATGTGAACCACGGGCACACAGAGCAGTCAAGGCTCCAAGGCCAAAAAGTGCCAGAGCCAAGTTTTGTCCCGTTGCTATGCGTCCTGTTTCATAGGTGACTTTCATGGCGACTATCCTGTCAGAGTCCAGCTATGGTTTTCCAAGAACACACCTGTGCCAAATCCCGCCATACCCAATTTCAACCGCCAAGCATTAATAAACCTTCCACAACTGGGCTTCATATGGTGTCGTCCTCCCAGGCTCTCATGTCACCATCCGCGATCTGGAAAAACTCGGCCTCCTCGTCTTTCCTGGCGGGCAACTGGTAGGGTGACAGCACGGGAATATCTCCCACGTTGATGTTCCAGGGAAACACATTCTACTGCTTCGTCATTGTATGTTGCTGTTCTATATTGTGAAGTTTGAAATTTAAACAAAGGTATAGACAATGATCTAGCCCAAACAAACATCCACCTAGAAAAACATGTGCCAAAAGCATCCAAAAATCGTGCTGACTCACAGACGCATGTCACCACACGACCGCAATCCCCCACCATCATCAAACATCGCCGGTGTTGCGAGATCCAGTTGGGTATGTAGTAAATCTCTGAGATGTTTCCCACCTGGCCATGGTTCCCGTCATGGTCTTTTGGGAAGTTTGAGGGTCAGAAGTCAGAAGCCATATCTATTGAATCGATTGGTTGGAAAGAGCTGGATCAAGACTGCGGAATCAAGGTTTGAAACATTTAAACACTTGAAAATTGGACTGCGTTCGCGGATAAAGTGTTGATTTGTGAAGTTTGACACACTACAATTCAGAATTTGTGCGGTATGATATATGGTTCAAACATGTGCAAACACTCAAGAAATTTGGGTGGAGAATATGTCCCGTCCTGCATTGATACTTGTCCATCTTCAATCTCCACTATATCAACATGTTACCAAACCTGCCAATATCTGTAATATGGTAAACCCGATAACAAACAATCCCCAAAATAACGATTTGTATGGGTTCTATAAACCATCCCCAAATGATGGGTTTTTGTTGAGTTTCCCATACCATTTTAACTTATCGTGCTTCCCTGTGTAAAACATTTCGAGATTTCGGAGGCTTGGCTTCAGGAACTCATTGATCACGCTCAGCTTGCCCATATTGGAACGACGACCCAACATGGGGTATACCTCTTTTCTATTAATTGAACAATATCAAATTATACTTCAGTTTATTTCAGCTGGGAAACAAAGTCGAAACTCTCAGCTATCTACAGTAACTCAGATTTCGGCTGAGAATTTGCCCATGGAACAAAAACACACACAGTGTATACACATTTTGTGTGCCCGCAGATATCAGAGTGATACTGTATAAGTTGGTCTGGTTGGTGGTTTGAACCCCTCTGAAAAATATGAGTCAGTTGGTCACCTTATTTCCATGGAAAAATAAACAATGTTCCAAACCACCAACCAGTGGTTTATAAACCCCGTTCGCTCTAGATGCAACTTACCATAAACACATGTAGCTCAGGAACTGAGGCACCAAACATCATTGAATCCCATGAAAAAAACATCATATCGTTGCTGGTTTTCATATCATCCCATGCTATCCCCTAAAAACTTTGCTAAGTATGGACAATCCTATTAAATATTAAAATCCACGAAAATCCATCAAATCCCCGTGATCCTATTGATTGCTGGCTTTCATATCATCCCATTCTATCCCCCCAAAACTCCACAAAGTATCGGAAGTATATCCCATTCAATCATATTCCCACAATATCATCCCATCATTATCCCATCATAATCCCACGGGTAAATTATCATATTTCACTAACCTGAAGTAAGGCCATTTGGGGGTGATTTCCCTCATTGTCCATGATTCCAGGGCTCGGTCGCAGTGAGGTCGTGATGAAATTTACTCAAATAATCCCAGGGTTATCCCATTAAATACCCATTAAAATCCATTAAACACCCAACGAAATCCCCCATGTTCCGCATCCACCTTGTAGGGTGCCAACAGTTCCTGCCACTTCGGAGCTCCCGCTGGTGTGGCCCGCAGGTCATGCCTCGTGGTCAGGGCTCAATGGCTCAATGCGCATGGTTTCTATATCTTTACAAAGTGGGGCCCCCGTTTACGATAGCTAAGTTGGTTTATAACTCCCATAATCATGGTTTATGATACTTTTAACTATCTTATGTTAATGTGGTTTGCAAACTAACTTCTTATAACGAGGGGCACAGTGTCAGTAATTACCACAATATATATTTATATGTATATATATATATATTATAACTATATCTATGTGTCAACAACTACAACATACTACAACTATACATCTGTTTAGGCGTTTGCGAAAAACAACGAATTATGGGTTTTGAACTGGGAAATCTCCTATCGGAAAAGGGAACCGCTCAGGCATTGCCGATCAGCGACACACCATAGGCTGGACATCACGTCGGCATGTAAAATGACCAGAGGGTAAATGATGCCAAGTATACAAACGAATTAGGTAGTTTCCAGTCGCCTGTCGCCTGTAGTAATTCCCCAAAAGATAGACAAGTAAATCATCACATTTTTAGGTGGATTCTATTTTCCATTTGTTTGGTGATTTTGTTATTAAGAATTGTGTTTTTTTTCATGTTTGGGGTATTCCCTCTATCACCAGCAAGAGAAGGTCACTGTTCGTGTTTTTCCAAGGAACTGTGCATCTAAAGCAGCCATCGCGGCACTCCTGACAGAATATTAACACGATGGCCGGATGATGGAAGTGATCCATTGGTTATTGATTTATAGGGATTCCCCGTTCATACAGCAGATGATCATACCCAATATATTGCATAATATAAGGCCCTCAAAAAAATAATCAACCAACTGGGGGTATGAAGACTGCTCAACTGAGAGGCCTTTGGAAGAGGTGTTCATTCAGATCCAAAGGGGTGAAGTACAATGTTGGCAATGTGCTCAACAAGATTCAATGAGGTTCCTCCCTAACACAGAATTGTTTTCGGGAAACTTGGTACATCAGATTCTACACTAGATCTCTCAACATTTTCTTCTGGTTCCACGTGGGTTATCTTGGGGGTGTCTGGGTCCGAAAAAAACACCTTCAGTGTCTACAGTAGTGGACAAATTAACTTGGCATGGCAAAGACATTGGCTCAACATGTACTGTAACTAATGCGTCAATCGCTGGTGATGACAACGAACGACAAGTTCCAAGAGCCAGACTCCCAGAAATGAAGTTACACATGGTTCCAGCAAAGAATTGCAGTTGCCTGGAGACAAAGCGTCTGAAGCCCATAGATCCTGAAACTTCCTGATTTTCTCTTCCTTTGTTCCCCAAACAATGTGTCCACACTGAGGGGTTCTTGCCGAAATTCTCCCATAGAATGGTTCTTGTGACATGTCCATGTGCATTTTGACTGCGGAGGCTCACAAAGTCTGCGACGCGACTTTTTCTTGATCTTGGGCCTTGGGCCCCGGCAATTTTCCTGTAAATTCTCGCATAAAATGGTTCTTGTAACATGTCCATGTGCGTTTCGACTGCGCAGGCTCGCACAAAATGTGGGCCCCGGTTCTGGGCCCCGGCATTTTTCCTGAAAATTCTCGCGTAAAATAGCTCTTGTGAGATGTCCATGTGCATTTTGGCTGCGCAGGCTCGCGCAGACTGTGGGCCGCGGGGTTCTCAAGCGCTGGTCTGAGGAATTTTCATGGTAAATTCTGGCATAAGTGGGCTCTTGTGGAGATCCTGCGAAATTCCTCTCTAAGAGGTTTCCTTGCATGATCTTGCACAGGTCCTGAACAGAAGATCTTGTGGAGATCCTGGTGCGACCCTCTCCAAGATGTCCTTGCATGAGGAGCTTGCAGATACCACTCTTAGAGGTGCTTGTATGAAAGCTGTTGTGGGGGGCTCTTGGGAGGCTCTTGTATCCAGATCTTGTAAGATCCGCTCTTGCAGCAGCGGGTCCTTTATTACGATGTTGTGAAATTATCTTACAAGTAGGTGGCCCTGGCATGAAGATCTTGCTCAAGGTATTTTACAATTCCTTGTGCGAAGCTCTTGTGGAGATCCTGGTCAAATGCTGTCAAAGGCTTTTGCATGATCTTGTACACAGGTCCGTGTGAGAAGATTTTTTGGAGATGCTGTTGAGATCCTCCCCAAAGAGGTCCTTGAGTAAGATCTTGAAGATCCTCTACATTGATGCTTGTATGAAAATTCTTCTGGGATGCGCATAGGCAGTTCTTGTATGAAGATCTTGTGCGCTCCTCTATATAGATCTATATAGATCCTGCTGCTGCAGTTCCGATCATCTCTAACCACATCTGTTTCTGTTTCATAGCTACTGTTGCTTGTATCTGGTACATTGACTTCCTATACCCCCCGCACTGTTTGGGGTCTCTTGCCTTTGTATTGTTTGACCATTTCATGGGTTTCGCCTATTTTGCCGATCATGAGACCTCCAACATTGGACCTCCGAATCCACCGATCCACCGCTGAGAAACTTCAGTTGATAAATACCCCTTGGCATCCGGCATCGGGATCACCATGGTGAATCACCAACGAAAATCCAACTGTGTTGGCAAAACCCAACAAAGTTCTTCTGGGTTGTGGTTTCAACCCATCCCGAAGCTTTAGCCAGCTGGTATCATTCCGAACAGGATGGAACATCACAAATTATCTGAAACTATCAAACAAATGCTCACTTGGTCCTCACTTGCGTCCATGCTCATTTTGTCCAAGATTCTGGGTTCCCAGAAGATAATAGCTCTTTCAAAAATGGCGTTGATGGTTTTTAGTGCTTTTGGTGACCCCAGAAAAACACATGTCCAAGAAGGCAATGGTGAATCAACAGGAGGTGTCCTAAGTCAGGGGTACCCCATTTTATCCTCGTCATGGCCATGACTTAGTGACACCGGTGACCCATGGGGAGCCCACATAGAGCCCCGGTTGTCCTCTGGTCAGCGTCTACTCGAGGTGCAGGACCAGTCGAGGCGCCTCAGGGAGAGACGAGGGTTATGGTTGGGTCTTCCTGGTGATTAAAGAAACGGTGGTTGTACTATACATATGAAACACTATAAGTATAGCCAAACTAATATGGATTATATGTGGTTAATATGTGGTTCATGTACTGTTAATAATGGTTTATATATGGCTACATATTATATGGTGAATGATGGTTAATAATAATCTGGTTGGTGGTTTCAACCTACCCCTCTGAAAAATATGAGTTCGTCAGTTGGGAAGGATTATTCCCGATATATGGAAAATGAAACATGTTCCAAACCACCAACCAGCTATACATATGACACACTATAACTATAGATGTGTTTGTTTACTATACAATACTATACATATAAGATACCTGACTGTATAGGCGTTTGATGCTGTATGTTTTCAATTGTAACAATAGTTAGATGGGGAATTTGGGATGTTACATGATGTTACCCTCTCGTAATTTAACCGGTTGCTATCGGAAATTGCTGATTAAATGGTGTAGAATTGCCAAATGGGAGTAAGTTGGGGTCAATCATCTCATTTCTAGGATGGAAAAACAAGGAACATATCCATTAACGCCATATCAATTTCCCTATGGTTTTCCATAAGTTTCCCACGAAACTAACCATTGCTGTTGCTATCCCTGATCCATAATATCTCCATCGGAATATCCCGGTCATCATCAGAGGCGGACATTTGGCCAGTCTAAAGAGCTACAAAGTGGATATAGTGGATATATCATACTCGTATAGTGAATATATCATATATTATCTGGATAAAGTCATATATGATATATATATATATGGATAAAGATATACGTATATATGTATATATACGTATATATATATATTTGGATATATCAAATGTCCTTGTGGATATCATTCATTTCTGGGCGGTCAGCCCACTGATGTTAGCTGGCTTACAAGCCCCTATGATAATCTTCAATATATCTACTTCTACGCAATGTCCTTCGGAAAACAAAGTTAAGATTCCCGAATGACTACATGATCTACATGTACTTATCCCATCTACTTCTCTCAGTATCTTTGTTCATGTGGGAGAAACAAAAAACAATCATAAACCATCCATTGATGGTGAAATTGGGGATAGTTTATTCTTGTTTTTACCCACATGACATAAATCATCCATTTCATCTTCGGATTTTCCATGATAAACCAACCACTAGATTGGGGATTTTCCCCCAAATCCTATGGTTTTTCAATTCCCCATGGAAATTCCCCATGGATTTGGAGCTACATTCGTTGCCGTAATGCCCCCGGAGAACCGTATGGACCTCCCGTGGACCGCGCTCCAAGGCACTGCTCTGCATGGCCAAGGGTAACAGCTCCATGGTATCCTTGGCCACATCAAGGCTGCCCACCAGTCGTGGAGCCTGCGAAATCACCACGTGAAAAGCGGGATGGATTCAAAACAAAAAACATGGGGATCTTCTATGTTTTTTTATATGTTTTTTGTTGTTTTTTAAGAACGATGTTATATGTTTTTTTTTAAATATAATAACACATATATATATGATTTAATATGATGATTATACTTCTATTAATACTATCCAATTAGTATCTATCGATGTATATATATATATATAGATGATGATTATATGTTTTATTATTAATAATATGAACTAATATGATTTTAATGTTTAAATGATGTCATCGTATGGTAGTTACTAGATATATGTCTGGAAGTTGCTTCTCTGAAATAGAAATATTTAAATGTTTGTAAGTAATTTGCCCAATGATCAATTAACAATTTACAAGAGGAGCTAAACATTACATCACCTCCAAAAAAAGTAACAAAAGAAGCAATAGTCGTAAACTGCCGAATTCAGAATGATGGCTCCAAAACAACTATTATACTATTCGCACCAAGTAGTGAGGGGAGGCTGGGTTCAGTCACCGTTCCCACCCCCAACCATTTCAGGTGATCATTCACGGCCAGCCTCACCGTCTGGGCAGGCAAACCAATCCTCAGTTTCGACATGTCCGTGGCAAACTCCAACGTGCCTGTTGGTGAATGTTGTAGATATCCCATGTGCTCCATGTATGGTATATTTACCTACAAAACTGGGTCATTTATGGGGCAAATGTTGGTAAATATTGCAGCACCATGGAGCATATGGGTATGAGTATGGGGTGAAATCAAAGAACTTTGGTGATTTTCTTTGGAATTTCATAGTCTCATTTTTTGAGTTCCCCTAATTTTTGATCAATTTTGACCTCAAACATCCTCAAACAACAGTGTATCAATCAATATCGTCCAATGCTATCAACTGGACCATCAACACATCTCATATAGCGAACAAACTTGGAGATGTAGCACCCTAGCACTGAGTCTGAAAGATCTTCATGTTCTCTTGGTGTTTCGCCACAATCCAAACAAACATGTGTGTCATCTGAAGCTCTACCGCTCCATTCCTTCCGTGCAGTAGATCCGATCAATACCAAAAAAGAACTCTCTAACCATTTCTAATCCATACATAATCAACAATTATGAACAATATTAATTGAGCAATATATGAACAATGAACAATTCATAATATGAACATTAATTGAACAATATTAATTGAACAATATCCCTCTCTTTTTGACCAAAAATTTCTTGTGTGTTCTCTTCCCCCCTTTTAGCAGGTGGGCCTCTAAGTGCCTCACCCCTTGTTGTGGGCCTCGGGCCACTCCGCTGAGCTCAAAGACCTGGGTCGTCAACCTATCTGGATAAATTATGGTTAGTATATATAGTTATTATATGGTTATTATATGTTATTATATGGTTAATGCTGGTTAATAATAATTATCTGCTTGGTGGTGCAATCATAACCATCTTGGAAAATGATGAACTTCGTCAATGGGGTTGGGATGACATCCCACTAATATTGTGGAAAATAAAACATGTTTGAAACCACCAGCCAGTTATAATATTTCACTAACCTGAATTAAGACCTCCCATCTTCCTTAGCGGGCCCAACCCCAGCTGACCGTAGCCGCAGACCTGAATCTTAAGGCCATTTGGGGATGATTCCCTTATTAACCATGATTCCAGTGAGGTGGCAGTGAGGTCGTTATAATTTACCCAGACCTATGGTAAAACCCCCAAATCCACGCAATTCAGAGCCAAAATACCTGCAGTTCACAGGCCAAAATCATGTTGTCACCGTTTTTCTTTTAATTCTCGATCAAGTTTAGGGTGAATTCCCGACGATTCAAGGTCAACAAATGAAACTCTTGCCAAGAAACTCCTCGAAATCGATGAGGGATCTCTGGGATGAGGGCTGCAGCTGCGGCGTACTGGTACCTCAGATCGCATCGCTATGGGTGCCAAGTGAATTCGAGTCCTTCGAATGGCGCAGTAGACATTGTGTATCGAAAAAGGAATTCCACCTTGCATGTAAAAATCAGCCCCAATGGTCAATGCTTAAATGGACATATCACTATCACTTGTGTATCCTCGACTTAAGATACTTCAGAGTTTAGCTTTTATTTAGCCTATGTTTCTCAATAATTTACCGTTTCCAAGATCATGATTTTCCATTACTTAAACTCGTTAAGATCCCAAAAAAATCATCGCGGCCGCCCTTCGTTCTGTGGAAAATGATCCCAACCAGAACGAAATCTTAAACGCATGTCTACGGCGGGGAAATGGATAGTGGGACATGGATATGTTATGATAAGTTTGATGATATGTTATGAGATGGGGACATCCCACTTAACTAGACTTTACCATGATTTTACCAGGTTGTTTTTTCATACGATCCCCGTGATCTACCTATAAATCCTCTGTAATACAATCTCTGGTTGGTGGTTTCAACCCCTCTGAAAAATATGAGTTCGTCAGTTGGGATGATGGCATTCCCAACTGAATGGAAAGTCATAAAAGCCATGTTCCAGTCACCACCAACCAGATATTATACTATGTAATATCCATTATTGTTATTATATCCATTATTATCCATCATTAACCATTATTATATACTATTAACCATAACTATTATCCATTATTAACCATTATTATATACTATTAACCATACTATTAACCATAGATTTCACCATAGATTTCATCAAAAAAGCTTGGGAGATCCCATCCCATCCCCAGCGTGGCTAAGCCTCCCGGCACATCAAGTTCCAGAGCGACCATCTCGCCATCTGGGCGAAACAAGTTTACCCTCGGATTGGTACGTGGCAAGTGGAGAAAAAAACAAAAAAAACATGACATGATCATTGTGTGTTGATATATGTTTATATATATATACACACCCTCTGGTAAACGTTTACATAGCTATGGAAAATCACTATGTTTTATGGGTAAATCCACTATTTCTATTGCCATTTTCAATAGCTTTGTGTATGTTTACCAGAGGGTATAGTTCAACATGATCCCAACATTTCACGTCTGAAGAATATTAGTCAGATTGGATCATCATCCCAGCTATTGGGGAAAATAAAACATGTTCCAAACCACCAACCAGTATATCTCATTAACCATTATTAACCATTATTAACCATTATTAACCATTATTATTCATTATTCACCATTATTTACTACTATTAACCACCATTAAACCACCATTAACCATATTAACATGATCATATTGATGGATTTACGATTGGATTCATCATTTGTTTTCAGGGCGTGTCTCCTTCACAAACGGGACATACCTTTTTTTTTCATGGCCATTTCTCATGGGGAATGGGTGATGATTTCGGAGCAAAGCAATTTTAAACTAACCTGATCATGGAGAAAAAGGATCATGAAACATGCTACATACCATGAACGGATCTAGAAACAACATAGGGACCCATAGAGGGTTAACCCTTAAGTCGTCTCACTTTGGGGCAAGTACGGTACGCTTCTGAAAACCACCGTGGAAACCCAACCAAAAACCATCCCCACTAGTCACTAGGCGAGTCCAAGTCTGAAGACCTTGGCAAATGAAATCACTGTTCAAGGGCAATGCCGCAAGTTCATTAGCCACAGTTCATGAATCCGGGCTTGACATGAAGAGAATATGTCTCAAAACCTGCATGGCTGGGAACAGGTTTCTAGGTCTCTAGCCCATGACGTATAACAAGCCTGAAGCAGTATACAGTATACACCATGAAATACATCTTATCTATCTAATCTAATCTAATCTAAATCTATCTAATCTCTTCTAATCTATCTACACATACACATTCGTACACCAACAGTACAACATAATAATATACAACATTATACAGCATAAATCAAATAGTACATTCCGTCGATATCCACAAATAGTCAAACGCAACACAAATCACTTACACATTATAGATTACACTATTGTACATATCCCAGCTAAAAGGCACTTGTGCATGCATTACAATACAACCTATCTGGCTGAATTGTATGGAATTGTGATAGTTTACTAACCTGAAAATAGCTGTTCTCACGGCCATTCGGGGATGATTCCCGAATGCAAACCATCATGCCCGTGACGGAAAATAGCGAGGTCAACGCAATTCATCATATATATCTGGGTAAATTATAATAATTCACTAACCTGAATCTTGCGGCCATTTGGGGATGATTTCCCTATTAAAAAAACCATGATTCCAGTGAGGTCGCAGTGAGGTCGTTATAATTTACCCAGATATATATATATATATATTTCCAGTGAGGTCATGATTTATCTTTACATACATCCATATATGTACTCATGACTCATGTATAGATATTAGTCTTACAAACCAAAAATAATGAACAAACAAACGACCAATGCCAAAGTCATGGTTACATCTTATTTTTGATAGGTGGATTACGAACCAATATTACGTAGATATTATTATATACCACGGGGGATTACGAACCAATATTAGATAATGTATTTTTCATACCACCTATTAGCCGAGTGGCTGGTCGCCCAATGGCCCACGCCACGACCAACGATCTGTGGGGAGGGAGCGTGGCGACCACTTTTGGTAAGCCCATGGTGCTTTAAAAAAATATGGGATTTCAACCATCAGGATCATCAAGGATAGGAATGTAAGTTGATTTAAGCACTCAACATGTGGCTTTGACACAGTTTCACCATCACTGTCTAACCACTAACATGTGGATCTAAACACTCAAAATGGATTGGTTGAAGTTAAATTTTGAACTGGAAACCACTGATTCTACCATGGAACATATATGGTGTCAGATTTCAATGTTCCACTTGATGACTGACGGTAAGTAACATATTCATATTACATTGTCAGCCAAAACAAAGAACACACATATACTGTATGATATGTACACATACACACTGTTTCATAGATGTTCATGAAAGCTTTGGGGTTAATTGAGTATGTTATAGCGTTGTGATATCATGGGTTGAATACACTCTGAGGGACTCTGTTGGTCGTGATTTTTGAATATTTTTTAGAGGTTCAATGCCTTCTTGTGGTGTCTTGTGAAAGCCCATTCTGGCTTGATGTTGGATATGTCCTCTGTCCGCTTGCAAATACGCCTTAGCTCTGCGATATCCACCTATCCCCAAAACACTGTGCAAATGCTTACCGCAAGATTAATGTTATGCTGTCGTCTTTGATACTACAAGCTACGGCGCAAGACAATCATGTCAAAATTTTGGACCCCTAAGCCTAAAGTGTTGGTCATGGTAGCATGGTTGATCCAATCTCAAAAAGTTGTTTTTCGAAATTACCTACAACAGAAAGGTCTATTCTTGGCTTTGCCACATGACTAACTGACTCAATCTCAAGGTACCCAATTTTGAGCCACATGCAGCCTGTCCTGCACTCCGTCTGCCAAATACGCCGCCCGCCCATTAGGATCTAAATAAACCTCAGCCAGAAGAACGACAACTCACATCCCTTGCGATGATGGATGGCGTTCTGGTTGGTGGTTGAGCCACCCCTACAAAACACGCGACATACAGTCAATTGGGATTGTCATTTCATTTTCAGGGACAGATTGTCTTTAGAAACAAGCAACATTTCTCATTTTCTGGATCCTGGTCGACATCCTCTGATCTCTTCCTTCCTAGGTGTAGAACTCCTTCTATCACTCAATCGATCTTCTGCTTTTGGCAGCAAAATTTACTGGTACAGGGCTGCAAATTTTACGCCCCGTGTAGCTCAGAAAAAAAACATGACTGTATTTTTTTCGGATGAAATCCACTCATCAAAGACCAAACACCGAAAAAAAACAAGACCAAACACCCAAGTAGTATGCCGACAAATCTTGCTGTGGGTGGCTAAATGATGTTACATTACAGTTGCGGCAGCTCAGCTTATTCGTGAACCAAGTCAGAGTTACACTTTGAGGGCATGAAACATGGATAAAGATATGGCCCAATCTATGGATCACCCAGCGCTGCGCTTCAAAAGGCTGGGCCCCTTTGCGTGGCCAGATAAAGCCCCTTCACAGCCCAGAACCGAAGCCCTGAAGGCCCACTCACCTCACAACGGTGACAGTTGGAGCCATGGAAAGATCCATCATGCTATTAAGAACGGTAAACCATCTATTTCGATTGGGGCCATCGAAAAACCATGGCTATGTAACAAATTACCAGAGGTTACATGAATTTGATTTCGATATTTATCTTAGTTACGAAGACTACACCTAAAGTCATAGCTGGATATCGATGACGTGTTCTCTACGTCTCTCTTTCTTGCGCCAGAGTTAACCATTTCCCAAGAGTGGTATTCCCAAACCAGAGAAGCACCGCGTGGGCGAGGAAGCAAAGAACATGACCAAACATTTAAGATGATACA